CAATAGTTAATGTCTGCATAGTGCTTACCATGTGGCAGACACCTTCTGGAGTGGGCCCTGGGTCTAAGACCCATGGAAATGACATGGCAGCAAGTGGCTCCATCGGCTCCCCTCCCGGCTGTTCTGTGATGTTGGGGTTGGGTCTCTTTGTCACAATCCCCACTTTTCCAGGGCCCAGCCACACCCCCGCATTTCATCACGTTAATCAAAGGGGCTGTGACTCTTACCTGAGGGGAAATCTGCTGCCCCCAGGTCTCAGATGCCGCATGCCTCAGGCACGCTGCTCATCTGTGCTTTGCGGTTGTAGTCATTCCCTCTTTCATTGGGCATGGTCTTTCCCGCTTATTTTGGTGAGTTTTGCAGGAGGGTAGTCAGGTTAAAATAGCTTTATTTCAACCTCTTTTGCCAGAAGCGCTGCCGGGGTTGCTTGTGCAGGGTTTGTGTCCTCCCACTTCCACCCAGGCATTCGCTCTAGAACTAAGTGCTCAGCACCTAAGTGCCTGTCCCAGGCACTGAGTTAGGGACCGAGGTGCCAAGGGAACAAGACAGACACACTCCTGCTGCGCTGGGGCTGACACGCTGCTGGGGGAGAGACAAGCACACCAAGAAGGCCATTGCCCAGGGTAGAAATGGTAGTGAAGAAAAATAAAGCTGGGTGATGTGGCAGCTCACGGCTCCAGCTAGGTGGTCGGGAAAGGTGTCCCTGAGGAGAAGCGCTGGCAGCTCAGACCTGATGGATAGAGGTCCAGGTCTGGTCAGAGCCGGGAAAGGGACTTCCAGCGGAGGGAGCCATCGGCGCAGAGCCGTAAGCTTGGAAGAGGCTTGGCCTGGTCGTGTGTGAGGAAGTAAGGAGGCCCAGCGTGTCTGGAGGGCGTGAGCAAGGGGAGCAGGTTGCGAGGCCCAACGGGGGACTCGAGTGGATGGGAGTGAGGGTTTGGTTATGAGCTGGATGTGAGTCCATTGGAGGTTTCTAAGCAGGGTGGCGGCTTGACCTCATTTAGGTTTTCAGAGGTCTCTTAGGCTCCGAGGGGAGAGAATATTGGAGTAGCACCGGAGGGGAGCAGTCAGCCCCTGAGGAACAGAGCTGAGGTTGGCCTGGATGCTGCCGTGGGGATGGCCAGGGGTGGGTGGTGAGTGGACAGGCCTTGCTGAAGGGTAGGCGAGGCTGGGGTCAGGAGGTGGCTCCTGATTTTAGTTGAGCCGTGGGCGGATGGGGGCTCTACACTATACTGCCGGCAGCTCCCAGAGCTCAGCAGTAAGCCCTCCTGCACGGTCACTGTGCCCTCCCAGGATCTGGTGGTGCTGGGCACAGTGCCCGGTACCGTGGGCAAGCAGTACCCGTGCGCTGCACGCCCTGCTCCCAGCCCGCGGTCGTAGGCCTGGCAGACAGTGAGCTTCTTGACCTGCCTGTTTTCCCGGCACCCTTCTCAGACTGCTTCTCGGCCTTCCACCCACAGGCAGAGCCCCGGGGTGCTCTCAGCCTGCTCCCACATCTGCATTTTGGGAGTTTGATGGGCAGGAAGGAAAAGGAAGATTCCAATACTACTTATTTCTGGTTCCAGTCGCAAACGCTTGCTGNGGGCAGGAAGGAAAAGGAAGATTCCAATACTACTTATTTCTGGTTCCAGTGGCAAACGCTTGCTGGAGGGANATCTGCATTTTGGGAGTTTGATGGGCAGGAAGGAAAAGGAAGATTCCAATACTACTTATTTCTGGTTCCAGTCGCAAACGCTTGCTGGAAGGGGTTAAAGATTAAAATAAAGACCAAGGACTATTAAGAACTCAAAATGGGTCAAGTATAAGTTTTTCCAAGAAACATTTCCTCCTCTTGACATTAAAATGACAATTTCGTAACAAGAAAATGTAACTTGCTTATTTGCCTCGGACTTTGGGAAGGACACATTTACAGGACACACACTACGGGCCAAGTGTTACTCCAGACCCTGGACGTTACTCTCTCCTCGCCCCATTTTACCGATGAGAAAATGAGGCTCAGGTAGAGTAACCAGGCCACAGAGCCCGTGGGAGGCCAAAGGGCGTGAGTCGGGGTCTGTGTGGCCTCCAGGGCCCTTCCTTGTCCACGTGCAGTGACAGCCTGGGATTGTCCCCGTGGGTGGCATGTGACTCGCGTGGTGAGTCAGATGGAAGGAGCACCTTGAAGCCCTCCCTTCTGTAATCCAGTGAGTCAGAGAACTGTTGGAGTTTGTCAACAGCTTGTTCATGGACAACTTTTAAACTACGTAACTATTAAAGTCTCAACTGAGGTGTAAAGAGATTAAGGAGTTTACCCAAAAATCACAGCTAGAGAAACCCTAAATTTGGAAGATCAAGGTCAATACTTACTAACACTTCAAGCCTGTGGGAGAATGGTCTGTACTGAGATTCTTAAAGAAAAAGCTACTTAAAAATTATAACAACATTGTAATAATACTGTATGCACATGTAAGACGAGAAATCTTTAAAAATTATCCCCATCCTGGGCCTTATGCCCTAACAAATAATGTACTTTTTAATTTTCTTCTTTCAGTAACTGCCATATTTGTGCACATTTTACGAGATTGTAATCGAGGCAGAGTATCGTGGTATTTTCTGCTGATTTCATTTACAATTATAGCAGTTCTAAGTGTTGTTACATTTTCTTCCTAATACTCATTTTGTTGATAAACTGGGGTTTCTTCACCTTTAGTTTATTTGTTTGGTCCTTGCTTCCCCCTCTCTCTCCCTCCTCACCCTCCCCGCCCTGTGATTTAACATTACCCCTGGTTGTGTTACAGGTAATAATCTGAAATTGAATTGAAGCCATAAAACCATAGTTTGGGTTTTCTTAATGAAGTAGTAAATTTGGGTGTGCTCTTCTCACTTCTGAAACATGAAACATGCTCTCATTCACCCCACCGTTAATATTTGCCAAGCAATAAGCTATGACTGTAACTTTCGAGAATCGTCTGCGGCCAAGTTCTGTTAACAGAGCTGTGTTAACAGGTCCCTGTTAATGGAAAAGGCGACGTGCTCCGGTTGCCTCGGCCACAGCTCCAGTGTGCTTTATGTATTGGAGCTGGGCTGGGAGCACTTAAAAATAAATCAGCCAGGTCAAGGCAAACATTAATCCTTGCTCCAGAGCTTGTTCTTATTTTTTAAGTTAATGAGCTGAAGCAGAAGCACTAGAATGTTCTTAGTCTAAAGCCCCCAGTGATTTGCAGGTCAAACGGGGGTATTTTCTGATCAAGCGGGTGGTCGAGGTACTGAACTGCAGGGCATCGGGGCGTTTCTGTTCTGCTGAGTGGAGGGCACCTGCTGGTTACCCCTTCCCTGCAGCAGTCTTGAATCACTGGCGGGTGTTATTTAAAGATTTTCATTCTGCTCTCAGGAAATTGACAAATAGCTATTTCTGAAGCACTGGGCTGGGGATCCACGAAGATGAAAGAGCTTTGGGCCTGCTGTCTCGCTGAGGGGCTTGCAATCTAGTTAGGAGCTTGTAACGTTGAAAGGCAACAATTCAGGCAGTGCCTGAGTCCTGCAGGGCTGACGAGTTTAGAGGGATTTCCATCCCTATGGATGGAGAGTCAGGAGGAGTTTCATGTAATGCGTAGCATGACATAGGCTTAAAGTTTAGATTCATTCACTCATTCAACAAGTATTTATTGGGGTGGGAAGACAATTATGAGGAGGCTCCTGCTTCTGTAAAATTTATATTCAAATCCAGGAACAGGCAGACGGTAAATAGGTAATTTCAGAGAGTAGGATGAAAAACCAAAAGATCTAGAGAAAGGGCTTCCCAGGCTAAGGAAACAGCAAGAGCCAAGGCCCTGAGGCAGCAGGAGCCCGACCTCCGGGGGTTAGAGCAGAGGCCCTCCCCTCCTTCCCGTCTCAGCTGAGCCTCTCCTCCCCGAGAGGCCTGTCTGCGCGCCCTGTCTCAGAGAGCACGTCGCCTTTTGCCCGTTGGTACTCATGACTTTATATTTTACATTCGTATATTTATTTCTGTTTGCTATTCCCAGTTAGAATGTAAACTCTGAGATCCGTGACTGTTTTGTTTATTGCTGTTTCTCAAGTGCCTACAGCAGTGCCTGGCACCCAGCTAGGGCCCCATGAAAGCCTAGCTGGCTGAGGGCGCGTCCCGTGGCGAGCGCAGAGCGTGGCCGTACACGGTTCAGAGGAGGGTTAGACGACGGTGTGTGAGGGCTTTAGGAGGGCGTGTGCAAGGCCTCCGCAGGGACGGGAGAGAGCAAATGCGCAGGGGCACAGGGAGCCATTTAGGAAGCAAGCCCGAGGGCCTTCAGCGGCGCCAGCACAGCAGCCCTTCTCACTCTTGGCCCCTTGGCCTGCCTCCTCTCCCCTCTCCCTTCCTCCCTCTTTCTTTTCTTTCCACGTGTATTGGGCACCTACTGTGTTCCAGCCCTGATGGCAACAGAGGTACAAGGGAGGATTGGGACATGATGGGGTATTTGACTTTGAAGAGAACAGTTGTCCATCCTGAAAATGTTAAAGCAAAGAATCAAATTATACAAAAATATAGGGAACTGCATTATTTGGACAAAAACTTTAATGTATGTTCCTAGCTTTACCTGGTTGCTCACAGCATTGACACTGACATCTGGTAATTAGTTTAAAGATCACAGTTCTGGGAGTTCATCTGTGACTTACTAATACTGATTGATATGTATGTATTTAGGTAACTGACACAATCCAATAATTATTATAAAGGATTATTGTAGTAATTGGTAAATAAAAATCAATGTAAACCCCAGAAGGTGTTTCATGTGTATTTAATGAAAAGGCTACATAAAGAGGATAGAAATGCTTGTGCTTATCCTGGGAAGAATGTGTGTGCATGTGTGTGCTTGCATGTGTGTGCATGTGTGTGCTTGCATGTGTGTGCATGTGTGTGCGTGCATGCACATGTATGTGTGTGTGCATGTGTGTGCACGCACGCATACATGCCTCTTTGGCTGGACTTTGTGGAAGAGAAAGCATCATTTTTTTCTCATTTCTCTCCTCAGGGATAATCCCAGCTAACGGGAAGATGAACGTGACTGTCAAGTTCACGCCCTGTCAGTACGGGACGGCCCAAGTAAGAATGCAGCTGTGGATTTCCCAGTTCAACTCTCAGCCCTACGAGTGCGTCTTCACCGGCACGTGCTGCCCCAACATGGCGTTAAGGTACGGCGGCTTTGCAGTGCTTTTGTTTGTTCCTAAAATCTTTTCAAGAATCCAAGTCTTCCTTCTATTCTGGTTTTCTGTCTTGTAACAGAATGTCATAAAAAACTGACTTTAAATGCACTTTAAAATATAAGGTAATGCACGGAATACCTCTGCTTGTAGCAGCCGTTGCTTCTGCCAGGAGGGGAAGTGCTGACTGAGGAAAAGGGGTTTTCAAGGGATACATTCTCTCACTGATGATTACTGGTGAGCTGTTTGAATTTTTGACCGTATGTATGTATGACTGTTTACTCAAAAATTTAAATCATAAGGCCAGAGCAACATAACTTTTCAAAGTTTCAATATAATATTATAATTTATTGAGTATCTGCTCTGGGTAGTGTCCACTGCAAAGCCCCACACCCTGAAGATACCCACAGCAGAGGAGCCGAAATGCGTCGCGTATAACAAGTGACTTCGACATAAGGCAGAAAGGGAAATGGCCACACAGGAGGGGTTTTTAAAAATACTATCAGTGTTCAAGTCAGTGTAAAGATGTGAAATGGGGTTGTTTTACTTCATAACAACTTTTCTTCTGAAGTTCTATTTTCATTTGAATGTGAGCTTGTATTTTTATATCCCAATCTAGCTAGTTAATATTATGTTTTATTTTAATATGCATGATTTTTATAAAAGTTAAAAGGAAAATTTGTCACAGTATAAATATTAATTTTGGAAAATCCTTATAAATATTTTGAAAATGATAAAGAAATAGCTTGATTTTCTTCCTTTTGTGATGCATAGAAATGTTTTACGTATTTACATCATAAGGCATATTAAAAGTGTAATTTCATGATTTATTATATATTTATATCATGATTTTCTTCCTAAAGACATCACTTGAGTGGGAGTTTTACTTATATATCTTTCTGTAGACATGCACAAAAGCATTGTATGGAAATGCCAATATACACTATTTCTTAACTAGTATGTTTTGGTTTCCCAACTAGTTTAATATCTTATTTAGCACACTCTTGACATTTTTAAGGGTCAAGACCTTCCTATCTCCCCAAACTGCAAATGGTCTTATAATAAATTTCACCATGAAGGAACAAATTCTCCTGCATTCAGTGTTCTCTGGAAGTTTCATGGGTTGCTTTTTGTTTCAGAATTGGGTGTGTGATGGACTTACCCATGTCCTAAACTTGGCATGACCAAATTCCAGGTGCAGCTCTTCAGTTTCTCACTGTCTTAGACCCCTTCATTTTTATTGTCAGTACCAGCAATGAGATTTCTTAAGGAGACTGTTTTAACACCCTCAGTTTTCATTGTTATTTCCTAATATTACGGCAGAATTGATGTCAGAGCTCTATTGAGATGTGGATGCTGAGCACAGCTCACTCCCTGACCAAGCACCTCACTCCCGCACATCACGGCATGCCCCTCAGTGTGCCTCTCAGCACAGGGGCTCCCAGCCATGGGCCCCCCAGGCGCCCTTACTTAGGCAGCGTCAAACGTGAGGCTGCTGGCACGCCGCTCTTGCTGTGCAGTGGGGCCTGTTCCACGGGTGCTCAGAGAATGCATGCTTAGCATATTCTTACCTCCTGTGTGTAATTTCATGGAAATCAGTAATGCTGTAAAACAAACGTTCAGGCATTTTGCCTAAAGAAATGCTTCATAGGTAGCACTTCTGAACATGACGCAGTTATTTATTATGTTCAAATAGCTTCCGCAGGCATGTTAGCAGCACTGTCCATACCTACATGTGTCCAAAGGCAGTTTGCAGTTATAGAAAAGATCTCAAACATTTGTCTGAATCACCTTGTGAAAGATCTTACTGCAAACAGTGGATATAATCATTCTTTTGCTAGGAAGATAAATCAACGGAAGATTTTTTTAATGTAGTAAATTTAGCTGTTGAAAACCAATAGCCTGGAAATGAATTATGCTAGACTGTGAGAGCAGTTTTCAGCATAGCATGCTTTCTGCTGGTTATGTTCTCTGAGAACATGAGGAGACACAGCCATTGGGAGCTGTTTTGGTTTAAACAGTTACCTTCTGGTATACTTACATTGCATTTATTGTAGCAGACCCATGCTTTAGCACAACTGATTTTCAATTACTAATTAATGGACTATCAGTCATAGTATTATCAGAAGGCAGATAAAAATAGGAACCTTGAGTTGATTGATTATATACTAATTTTAAATCTGTTTAAACTATAGATTAGAAGAATTTGAAAGATTAAATATTCTTTCTAAGAAAGTAGACATTCCTGCAGAAAAGTCAATGACACAGATAAATTTTCACCGACTGCCAGCAAAGTTAAAACCTCCAAAGATTAAGGTAAGTGGTCATCATGTTAACCATGATGGGAGGAATGAGAGAGAAGCAAAATAATGACTTTTTCCTTCTGATTTGGTCGTAGGAAATTGAATATCAGAACTTGAGATTTCCAGTAAATTTATCAAATCCATTTGCTGTGGCAACTGTTTTAAACCAAGAACCAGGAAAATTGAAGATTAAAGAATTAAGAGAAGGTAACCAGCTGAGCCACTGTAAATCAGCACCTGGGCAGAGCAGGAAAGACTTATTGCTTGTGGCATTTACTATTTATGAACGATAACAACAAAACTCACTTAGATCTCTGAGTTTTGCCATTAGAAATGTGTTTTTCCCTCAGCAAATGACTCTGATTTGATTACTGGTATAATCATTGTCTGCTCCTGCCCTCAGTTTTGGACCAAGGCAATGAGGTTTCAAAAACAAGGCAGATGAAGGAAGCACTGTTTGAACAGAAAGTCAGACAGGACACTGTGGAAGAGATTGAAAATCACCTGAAATGGTAAATATTGAGCACTTTTTTGTATCAAGTGACAGTAGTTTGCTTTTGATAATGGCTTTTTTATATGAGACAATGAAATGTCGTAACTCTTGAAAACTCTGATTATTGTTTCCCTCCACTGGACCGTCCATTTCAGAATGAAGCCACTTATAGGAATAAATCAGTGACCAGCCTTTCCCTTCCCTAAGTGTGCCCAGGCAGCGGGAGGCCCGAGCGCACAGGCGAGAAGCGGGCCGCTGCTCCCGGCCGCCCTAGTCTCAGCCGCCCGGAGCCCCGGGGCCTCTGCCAGCCCGCAGTGCGGGCTGTGGGGGCGGCTTCTGATGGAGGCTTTAAAACTCAGATTCGAGACTTGTGCCTGTCTCCTGCGGTCACAATGGAGCCCTTTTCACAATTTTTTACCAGGTCATACGTGGCATTTCCATGTGTATGGATTCAGCTAAAGCAAACTTCAGAAACTCTTAAGCAAAAAATAAAGATTCCTGTAAAGGGTCTTTGAGAGGCCGTCTTGTCTACCCAGGCGTTCCCCACCCAGCCACCCTGCTTGCATTGGGGGAGGGGTGCCCTTTGTTTTCATGGAAATACCTTCTACTTCAGCATAAGGTTGTATTCAGGGTCTGATCTCAGCTAAATAGGAAGAATGTCAAGTAATTGAAGAGCATTTTTAACAATTTTTTATTTTCCAATTACAGTTGACATACAACATTACATTAGTTTTAAGTGACTAACACAGTGATTGGACATTATATCACTTACTAAGTGATCATCCTTATCAATCTAGTCCCCATCTGACATCATATATAGTTATTACAATATTATTGACTATATTCCCATTGCTGTAGTTTACATCCCCATGGCTTTTCCGTAACTACCAATTTGTACTTCTTAATCCCTTCATCTTTTTCACTCAACACACTATCCCACTGGCAACTGTCAAAATGTTCTCTGTATCTATGAGTCTGTTTCTGTTCTGCTTGTTTGTTTATTTGTTTTTTAGATTCAATTGTTTATAGATATATGTTTATTGCCATTTTATTATTCATATTTTTAATCTTTTTTCCTTCTTCTTCTTAAACAAGTCCCTTTAACATTTCTTGTAATACTGATTTGGTGAATGTGAACTCCTTTAGCTTTTTCTTATCTGGGAAGCTTTTTATCTGACCTTCAATTCCTAATGACAGCTTTGCTGGGTAGACTAATCTTGGTTATAGGTCTCTGCTTTTCATCACTTTGAATATTTCTTGCCACTCCCTTCTGGCCTGCAAAGTTTCTGTTGAGAAATCATCTGACAGTCTTAAGGGAGCTCCCTTGTAGGTGAGTAACTGCTTTTTTCTTACTGCTTTTAAGATTCTCTCTTTGTCTTTAACCTTTGGCATTTTAATTATGATGTGTCTTGCTGTGGGCCTCTTTGGGTTCCTCTTGTTTGGGACTCTCTGATCTTCCTGGACTTGTATGTCTATTTCCTTCACCAGGTTAGGGAAGTTTTCCATCATTATTTTTTCACATAGATTTTCAATTCCTTGTCCTCTCTCTTCTCCTTCCGGCATCGCCATGATGTGAATGTTGATATGCTTGAAGTTGTCCCAGAGGCTCCTAATACTATCCTCACTTTTTAGACTCTTTTTCCCATTTGCTGTTCTGACTGGGTGTTTTCTGCTTCCTTACCTTCCAAATCTCTGATTTGATTCTCTGCTTCATCTCTTCCACTGTTGATTCCCTGTAATGTATTCTTCATTTCAGTTAGTGATTCTTCATTTCTGACTTTTAAAAAATGTTTTCTGGTTCTGTTTTTATGTTTCCTATCTCTTTGTTGAAGTTCTCACTAAGTTCATTTATTCTTCCCCTAAGTTCATTGAGCATCTTCATAACCAGTGTTTAAACTCTGCGTCTAGTAGATTGCTTGTCTCCATTTTGTTTAGCCCTTTTTCTGGAGTTTTATTCTGTTCTTTCATTTGGGACATGTTTTTTATTGTTGTTGTTTTGACTCCTCATTTTGATAGCCTCCCTGTGTTTGTTTCTGTGTATTAGGTAGAGCTGCTACATCTCCCAGGCTTGGTAGATTGGTCTTATGTAGTAGGTGTCCTGTAGGGCCCAGTTGCACAGCCTTCCTGATCACCCGAGCTGGACATTCCAGATGGGCCCCCCGTGTTGGCTGTGTGTACTCTCTTGCTGTAACTGAGCCTTGATTGCTGGTGCCATGTCAATGGAAGGATTTACTCACAGGTGGATCAGCTGCACAGACCAGTTGCAGCCACCTTGTAGGATCAGCTGTTCAAGGACCCACCCCTTGGATCAAGATTTACTTCAGTGGGGCTCTGGTTTCCATTGATTCTTCCCCTTGAGTATGTCCCTTGTGGAGGTGATTAGGTGTGCTTTGAAGTGGTCAGAAGCTGTTTACCAGTTGTGCTGGCTCTGGAGCCTCCTGGAAAAGGTAGGCCAAGGTCAGCTACCACCTGTGTTCTGCCGGGGACCACCTGGCATGAGCTACAATCAGTCTGTGGATGGCTGCTACATGTGCTAGGCTTGGAGGTGCCAGAAGAGGCCAAGCTGCTGACTGCCACTGGGCTTGAGGCCACTTAGGGAGAGGTACATGGCAATCCAAGGTCAGATGCTGCTTGTCTGAGAGGTTTTAGGAAAGTCAGAAGCATGATCCAATACAAGCCACTCATATGGAAAAGCCACTGGAAACAGCTTGGGTGGGCCCACAAGTTAGTTGTGGTGGAGTCTCAGGGAATCACCAGGGTAGCGTTAATGGTGTCAGCTAGGTTGATGGAGATTCGGATATGGTGCCCACCTGCCAGCTCTGTGGGGAAGGGCTCACCAAAGGAACTATGGTCTCTGCCAACACTTCTGTCGGAGAGAAAGCTGCCCCTCCAGCTCTCACCCTGATGCCAGACACTTCAGTTCTTCCTGGTATGTCTCTGGTGCCCTTCCAGCAGCTGTCCCAGTGCTGGAACTCAGAGGGAGTGAGTCCAAGTAAGTCCGTGTGTGAGGCCTATAAGAGGAACACCTGGGACTCCAGCTGCCCTCCATCTCACTCAGCCACAATCCCCAATGGTTTTTACATCAAGAAGTTATGGGGTCTTTTCTTCCTGGCACTGGAACCTAGGGTTGGGGGGGCCTGGTATGGGACTGGGACCCCTCATGTCTTAGGGCAGACCTCTGGAGTCTGGATATCCCTCCCAATTTTTATCTATCACCCATGAGTATGGGACCAGCCTGTTCCATGTCTCCACCCCTCCTACCAGACTCAATGTGGCTTATTCTTTGTTTCCTTAGTTGTAGGACTTTCATTTAGCTAGATAGAATTCAGGTGGTTCTGAATGATGGTTTTTCTGTAGTTTAGTTTTAATTTTGATGTGGTTGTGGAAGATTCACATACCATATTTGCCTATACACCATCTTCAGAGAGCATTTCTAAAAATATTCTTTCTCTGTTATAAAAATGAACACATTGTCATGGTAGAAAACCTGAAAAATATTATTTATAAAGTATTGGGAGGGAAAAATCATCACTATGTTTTTGTATTTAAATGTTTTATTATGAGCATATATTCTTTTCAAAATAATAAAGAAATTTAAAGATAAAAAATAACCAGTATGATGCAATGACCATGTCCTTCCTTCTATGCTTGAAATCACATCCTAAATTCAATTTTGAATGCCATGTTGTTCACTTAATATTTTCTCCCAACTTTTTTTGTTGAAAGATTTTAAACCTTCCAGTAACACCCATATACACTTGATGTAGGTTCACCAGTTGTTAAAATTATGTAACATACACTTCCCCTTACTTTCTACACACACACACATACACACACCTTAATTTTCCTGAGCCATTTGAAAGTAAATTGCAGACATCATGAAGCTTCACTCCTAAAGACTTTAGCATGTAATTCCTAAAAACAAAGATATCTCCAACATTACCATAATTGCTTCTGAGAAAGTTAACATTATTACAATCAGATTGTAATAATCAACCCTCACACAAATTTACCCAGTTGTCCCATTCATGTCCTTTATACCTGGGTTTTTGTTTTTGGAGAGGATGAATCCAGGGTCCAATCAAAGATCATACAATTTGTATTTAGTTTTCATGTCTCTTTTGTCTCCTTTAAGCTAAAACAGTTCTCCAGACACCCCCTTTCTTTTTTAAAGCCATAGCTACTGCTTATTTTGAACATGTATCAGGTTTCACGATAAATACATTACATACCAGAGATTTTTAAATGGTGAATAAATGCATAAAACATAATATTCACCATTTTAATAATTTTAAAGTGTACAATGCAGAGGTTTTAGGTATATTCATAACATTGTGTAACTCTTACCATTAATTAATTCCAGGACATTTGCATCACTCCAAAAATAAACCCCTTACCCATGAAGCAGTGATTCTCATTCCCCTCCCCGCCAAGCCCTGGCAACCACCATAGATTTGCTTATTCTGGACATTTTATATGAATGGAATCATACAATATATGGCCTTTTGTAACTGGCTTCTTTCATTTAACATGTTTTCAAGGTTCATCCATGTCATAGCCTCTATCAAGACTCCATTCCTTTTTATGAATAATGTTCCATTATATGGACATTCTACATTTTGTTTGTCCATTCATCAGTTGATGAGTTGGTGGTCTCCATTTTTGGGCAATTGTGAATAATGCTGCTATGAGCATTTATATACAAGTTTTTGTATGAACATATCTTTTCTGTTCTTATGGGCATATAGCAAGGAATGGATTTGCTTGGTCATATGGTAATTCTATGTTTAACTTTTTGCAAAGCTGCCAAAGTTTTCCATCATGGCCAAACCATTTTATATTCCCATCAGAAATGTTTGAGTGTTCCAGTTTCGCTATATCCTTGGCAATACCTCTTCTTTTTCTTGTTATTATTATTATTATTATCATTATCGTTATCATCATCATCATCGCCATCTTAGTGGGTGTGAAGTGGTACATCATCGGAGTTGATTTGCATTTCCTTAATGACTAATAATGAACATCCAGATTTTTTTGTTCATAAACATTTCAGCATGTGTCACTAGAAGAAAAGCTTAATTTTACAGAACCCATTATTCATCTTAACTATGCCGCCAATGGCTACACCTCCTCTTCCCCGTGGTGTCTCCTCCAGTATCTCAGCATCCCTTTTCAATCGTAGAGTATGGTTAAGACTCTGCATTCTAAAATTGGCTATTGCATTCTGATGGTTTCTGGAAGTTGTGTTTTTTCTCCCCAGGCGGGTGCACCTTGGTAAAGATCATATGTCTTTTAAATTTATAAAAGATCTTGCCGATGAGCAGCAAAGAATAAACGACAAATACAAGGTCAGAATCACTGCTAACTGTATATCACGTAGTTCACTAACTAGTTTGAATTCCTGCTGTAGGCAAGATGCCGTATCAGGGGAAAGAAAACTTACAGCGAAGTTGGGAGGAGAAGAAGCTGATAACAAGCTGGCTGTTAACTGTAATTAAGGCTGGCTGTAAATATCACAAGAGACCGCTACTAAGTATTAGGGGGATTCAGAAGCTAGAGGGGAGAGAGAACTCATCTAACTGGAAACCTTCCTTTAAGACATGGTATAATTTTGAGAAATTGTCAAGGGGACAATTGAGAGGAAGGGGATGCTTCAAGTTTGGGCTGGAATTCCAGGTGCGAATTGCAACTATCCTATGATCTGCAGGTCATGAAGATAAGAAAGACCAAAGACAATAATCAGGAGCCACACAAAATCCAGATTCAAACAAAAGTTCCAAGTCAAAGACATTCAAAGGGGCTGAGCAGAGAGTGGAAACCTGGTTAGGGGAGGAAGCCACACCTGAGTCACCAAGGCAGCACCTGCAGGTTCAGGGATGGGAGAGTAGAGACGGAAACTGTGGGACTGTGCAACACCCCTGGGCTTACTGTGTTTCATGTGTTTCATAAGGCATTGTTAGTTGCAGGGCAGGTGCAGAGAACAGTAGACAGGTCCATAGTGGCTGAAGCACAGGACACACAGGGACGAGAGGTGATAGGACTTGGCTGGGGCTCCGTGGTGCAGGGGCTTGGACTTGACTGGTAGGGCTTATGGAATCATCACTTACTGTATTAGTCAGCTAGGGCTGCCGTAACAAAATACAACAGACTGGGTGGCTTAAACAACAGAAATCTATTTCCTCACAGTTCTGGAGGCTAGATGACCAAGATTAAGGTGTTAGCAGGGTTGGTTCCTCCTGAGGTCTCTCTTTGGCTGTCTTTTCCCTGTGCCTTCACATTGTCTTCCTTTTGTGTCCAAATTACTTCCAACCCTAATCACCTCATTTTAACTTGATTGCCTCTTGAACTATCATATCTCCTGACTAGGAGTTAGAATTGGAATTTTGGAGGGACACAATTCAACCATAAAACGCATATGTAATCTTGGGAGTGCGACTTCCCACAATCAGTGCTACGCATAGTGACAGTACTGAGCAAGAGGGACTGGGAAAAAACATGTATCTTTTCAGATATGAATATATATCTCAGATAGAATATGTTTTCTTCCTAGATTTGGAGTAGAAATCAGATATTTGAATAAATTTGTTCTTTTTTAATTTTTAAAAAAATGTAAAATCATTACATTGGTAAATCTTAGCATTTAGGAAAGGCACATGTTTGACTGGCATTTAAACTTGGTTTGGTATGTTGTTCAGATCCTTTGCACATGATTTTAAAAACAAAATGTCAAGTGTTTTCTGTTTTAATGACGAAGGTGATAGACATGCCACAGCTGCGTCAATGTGAGAGTTAAGGCTGTAACTGCCAGCCTTTGGTTGACAGACAAACCCAACTGTTTATTCACTAGGCAAGTGTACTGAATGCCCACTGCATGTAAGGTTCTGTGCTAGTGAGCAAGCCATGGCCCCTGCCCTAGAGATCAGTCCAGATGGGGCACAGAAACATTAAGAGATGGTACAAAATGTGCTGAGTGCAGTGACAAAGCTAGAACTTGTAGAAAAATTGGAGTTGAGGAGTAAGGAAAAGGAAGACGGTTCCTAGGTTCCCAGCTTGTGTGCGTGTTTGTGGTTTTAAAGGAGATCGCAAATTTGGAGAAACCCTGGCTTAATGGAAGATGAGAAGTTTAATGTAGGATCTGTTACATCTGGGGCAACTAGAGGGTGTCCAGGTGGCAGCTGAAGGGACAGGCCTGCACTGGAGACAGAGACTTGGGAGTGATCAGCACTGAGTAGAGATTGATACCACAGAACAAGTGTGGTGACCTGGGGAAAGTAAGTATCTTGAGAAAGAAGTAGCTCAAGGCAGGAATTGTGGAGGACTTCATGGCTTAAGAGGAGACCAGCAGACAACTAAGGAGGTAGAGGAGAAATGGCTGGGAGGTCAGCGGGCCTGGGGAACACAGAGAAAGCAGACTCGGGGGGATCAGTCAAGTGCAAAGAGGATTCCAGGAGAAGGCCTGAAGAGCACATATTGGATGCGGCCACTTGGAGGTCCTTGTGTGCAACTCCAGTAGACCTGAGGAGGGGAAAGCCATATGGTGATTCTCGAGGAATGTGTAGAAGCGCGTGGTTTCTTGAGAAGTTGAGATGAGCAGGGTCAGTGAAGAGTAATGGATGGACCCTTAGAGGCGCTGAGAGGTCAGGGAAGGGGTTTCTAATTGGAAGAACTTGAACATGTTTATGGCTGAGGGCAAAGAGCCATTACAGAGGAAAATGTTGAAGAAGCTCAGGAAGAGGCCCAGGTCAGACAGAAAGCGTGTCTTTGAGCAGGAGGACAGCCTGGAGAAGGCCGCGGGAGGCAAGGCAAGGCTGTAGTCAGCTTTGCAGCAGAGGGGGCCATTGAAGAGCGCCCGTGGCCTGGCCTTCCCGATGACCCAGGAAGCAGGCCACTGCGGAGACTGGGGGACAGGGACCGGAAAGAGGCTTCCCAAAGCTACTGTGGGGAGCAGGAAAGGAGCTGTCGCATCCTTACTGTCAACCACCAGGACAAGCGGAAGGAAGAGCAGGCCACCTGAGAGCCCAGGGTTGTGGGAGAGCGAGTGTGCGGGGACTCTGTTCTTCGTGTCCAGACTTCATCTGGCAGCTGAGTCCTGACTGGTCACCTAGTGGCAAGGGACACCTGGAGGCCCAAGGCATGTGGCAAAAATCGAGAGGGAGAGGGGGGAGCATTTGGAGGGAGCAGCATTCTAGCTGACGGCACAAACCCTCAATGGTGGTGAGCTCCGGGAGATCAGTGAGACGAAATTCTGAGATGTTCACCACAAGTGAGTAGGATGTAAGAAATCTCCCTCCGTTCTTCCAGCAGACAACCAACCTACTTGCCATCCCTTCCTTAAGCTGCCTGTTTCATTTTACTTTTAGTGGTTGAGAGGGTCAGGGTCTCTCCCCACAAAAATCTGTATTTTGAACCTAAGGTTCACAATCTCAAACTCAGCTTCCCAACATGGAGATTAGGGCTCAACAGCTCACGCCCCTGGAGACAGTACTATGGCTCTCTTACCTCTGAATAGATGTTAATGTGGTGATCAGAATAGATTTCTTCCAATTCAGTCTTTAAAAATGATTATGAGCAGTGTGCCTAAGCGCCAAGCTAGTTTTGGAAGTTACCTAACAAACAGATAATAAAAACCACAAACAGGCAGAAACGTTTGCAGCGTGCACGGCCCTCTTTCCCATGGAGGCGGCGATGCAGACACCCAGCCAGCCAGCGCCCCCGGGAGGGACCCACGGCTCCTGGGGAATAGGGAAGGGAGCTCAGGCCACCAGGGAAGTAGACGGGGAGGGTACAGCCTGGGGACACTCACTCCAGGGAAGGGGCAGAGCCCATCGGCCTCCGACACTCAGAGAAGGGAAGGAATCATTTGCCTTTCTTAAAACCTGATGCTTGGATAATCAGCTCTGAGGAGCTTAAAACTTCACTGGGACATTGCATTTTTTTAAAATGAAATCTCTGTACTCCCGTGGTTACACGGGTACCTAAAATCCTGTCTGTGACTTTTAAATGCCTCAGAAACAACAGACAGTCTCCTCTAGTTACAAAAAGAAGGTATTGGGCTTGTGCTTCTATTAAAACTCCCTATGTTTAAACAGTGAGTATAATTATAATGATTATTTTAACCTAATGGTGTCACTGCCCCTCCCAACGGAACTTCTTGGGTGGAACTTCTTGGGTTTCTAGCACTTTTAAAGAGAAATAAAGTTGTGTGGTTTGTATTAAACTTGAATGTTTTCAATGATTACAAAACCCAGCTAGATAGAGGAGACCCTGTCTTGGATGAGGAATTTCAGCGGCTGAAGACAGAAGTTAACGACAAACGGGTTGTTCACAATCTAGAAGAGGTGGGTACCTTTCCTTTATTTGCAGTCTAATTCTCCGCGGCTCTTTGTATGCTTACTTTTAAAGCACTAAACAATTTTAAATAAACCTTTTAGCAGGAGATATTTCATAGTTTTTAACATGCTTATGTTTTCAGGGTGTTTTTCACAACATATTCACAATAAAGCATCAAAACTCATAATTAATGTTTTCCTTGAAGTTAACAGGGTTACATATGTAGGCTCCTCCTTGCCACCCTCTGCTTTTTCCTTCGTGGTCTCCATTTGTTTCCTTCGCCCTCCACAACCCCGCCTGAAGGTCATCAGGGTGGGCCCCTGGGCCTCCGTTCACTGACACCCCCCCCTTGGTGGGAAGGGTACAGACAGGAAGCCAGAAGCGGGAGTTCTGGTCCCAGCTCTACTAAGATTTGGGACCTGGAAAAGCCCTCTGGGCCTTGGTGCCTTCGTTCCCTCAAACGTCAAATGGCACCAGCAACCTCTTCACCTGGGGATCCACTGTCATGTGATAGTTTCTGGTTGAACCCCAATTTTTAACTTTAACAATGAAAAAATTCTTAATCTCCCCACCTCCATTGTTCTCACTTTCTTTTTCTGGGTTTGCCACATTGGAATTCTTTTAACCTCTTTGCTTCTCCCCCACATTTAACCTGGCCACCAAGTCTTTCCAGTAGCTCTTCTATAAGGCCATACCCAAGCCCAGCCTTCAGGTCTCACCCCAACTAACCCAGCAGATTGTCCACATATCTGCCCCTCTTGCCTCTCCTCTTCAGCCCACTGCATGTGCAATGTGAGACTAACTTCTGATGCCTTTTTCTTATATTATTTCCCTGTTCAAGAATCTATAGTGCCTGAGGCTCTGGCTGGCCTCAGCCCACCCCCAGGTACCCTTTCCTGTGCATTCATTTACCCACCTCACACTGTGCCCCCGATATGCAGGCGCTGTGCTGGTGCTGAGGACAGGGCTGAGCACAGTAGTCCTCCTCCTCCACTGGGCATCACACAGGCTGCTCCTCTCCTGGGTGCAGTTCGGTGTGACTGTTGTTCCTCAGGGTTGCATGTGTTTGCTGGAGCTTCCTGAACTAGACTGTAAATTTTTTAAAGCCCAAACCTTCCACTTTGGGCCCCCAACCCAAGAAGTATTGCCTATGATGCTGTGTATATTCAAAGTACTTAATAAATACTTATTATATGGAAAACAAACAAAAAAATAACTAGATTTGGGGTCAAACTTTAAAACATTTTTATTAAATGCTATGCCAGAGGTTAAAATTTAAATCTTAGATGTGCCTATATTTTATGTTCACAGAAAATCAGGGAATTTCATCCTAATTTTGACCCACTTACGAATAACACTTGGGTCAGCAGGTTCAGGACGCAAAGACGGATTCAACAAGCAGCCCGCAAGGTAAGTCTCAGCGCCGGGCTGGGATGTTCATTTTAGTCATCAGCACAAGGAAATCAAACACTGAGTTTTTTATAACAGCTTTATTGAGATATAATTCATACACCACATAAAATTCACTCTCATAGAGTGTACAGTTCAGTAGTTCTTAGTATATTCACAGAGCTCTACAACTATCACTATTATCTAATTTTAGAACATTTTTGTCACCACATAAAAGAAACTGGTTCCCATTAGCAATCCCCCTCCATCTCCCAGGTGGCCCCGGCAACCACTAATCCACTTTCTGTCTCTGTGGATTTGCCTCTTCTGGACATTTCATATAAGTGGAATTATACAATACATGGCCTTTCATAACTGGCTTCTTTTCCTTATCATGTTTTCAAGGTTCATCCATGTTGTAGCATATATCAATACTTCATTCCTTCTTATGGAGGACTGCTTTTCTATTATATGGATAGTCCACATTTTGTTTATCATTCACCAACTGAAACATTTGGGTTCTCACTTTTTATGAATAATAATGCTGTGAGCATCTGTGTACAGTTTTGTGGACATATGGTAACTCTGGAACAGTAGAATGTTGATCAGCACTTTCTAGACAGAACAGTGGAGAATTTCTGTGGGATCTTGTCTCTACAATTCAGGCTTATGTCTTCCCCTTCACAGCAGTCATCTCCCAACAATCAAAAGTCCTGGTCTGGACGGCTTCACAGGTGAAATTTACCAAACATTCAAAGAAGAACTAATACCTATCCTTCTCAAACTATTTCAAAAAATTCAAGAGGAAGGAAGACTCCCAAGCTCTTTTTATGATACCAGCATTATCCCAATTCCAAAACCAGATAAAAATACTACAAAGAAAGAAAATTACAAGCCAATATCCCTGATGAACATAGATGCTAAAATCCTTGACAAAATATTAGCAAACCAGATCCAGCAATACATTGAAAAGATCATATGCCATGACCAAGTGGGATTTATCCTGGGGATGCAAGGTTGGTGCAATATTTGCAAATCAATAAACGTGATACATCATATAAACAAAATGAAGTGTAAAAATCACATGATCAAATCAATAGATGCAGAAAAAGCATTTGATAAAATTCAGTGTCTGTTTATGATAAAACCTCTCAGCAAAGTGGGAATAGAGGGATCATATCTAAACATAATAAAGGCCATATATGACAAACCCACAGTCAACATCATACTCAATGGGCAAAACTAAAAGCATTTCCCTTAAGATCAGGAACAAAACAGGGATGCCTGCTTTCACCACTCTTATTCAACATGGTACTGGAAGTCCTAGCCACAGCCATCAGACAGGAAGAGGTAAAAGGCATCCAAATTGGGAAGGAAGAAGTAAAACTGTCATTATTTGCAGATGACATGATACTGTATATAGAAAACCCTAAAGACCCCACAAAAAACTACAAAAGCTAATAAATGAATTTGGCAAAGTAGCAGAATAGAAATTAATATTCAGAAATTGGTGGCATCTTTATACACCAACAATGAACTATCAGAATGAGAAATTAAGAAAACAATCCCATTTAGTATTACAAAAAATAATAATAATAAGGTACTTAAGAATAAATTTAACTTTGGAGGTAAAAGGCCTGTATTCAGAAAATTATAAGATGGTGAAGAAAGAAAATGAGGAAGATACAAACAAGTGGAAGCATATACCATGTTCATGGATAGGAAGAATTAACATCATTAAAATGTCCATATTACCCAAAGCAATCTATAGATTCAATGCAATTCTTATTAAAATACCAATGGCATATCTCATAGATATAGAACAAATATTCCAAAAATTTATATTGTACCTTAAAAGACCCCTAATAGCCTCATCAATCTTGAAAAAAAAGAACAGAGTTAGAGATATCACACTACTTGATATCAAATTATACTATGAGGCCATAGTAATCAAGATGGCATGGTACTGGCATAAAAACAGACATGTAGATCAATGGAACAGAACAGAGGGCACAGAAATAAACCCACGTCTTTATGATCAATTAATATTTGACAAAGGAGGCAAGAGCATACAATGGGATAAAGATAGTCTATTCAATAAATGGTATTGGGAAAATTGGACAGATACATGCAAAAAATGAAACTAGATCACCAACTTAACACCATACACAAGAATAAATTCAAAATGGACTAAAGGTTTAAATATAAGTGGTGAAACCATAAAAATCCTAGAAGAAAACGTAAGCAGTAAAATCTCAGACATTTCTCATAGCAAATTTTTTTCTGATATATCTCCTCAGGCAAGGGAAACAAAGGAAAAAATAAACAAATGGGACTACATTAAACTAAAATGCTTTAGCACAGTAAAAGAAAACCATCAACAAAATAAAAAGGGAGCCCGCTGAATAGGAGAGCATATTTGCCAATGATACATCTGAAAGGGGGTTCATTGCCAACATATATAAAGAATTTAAACAACTCAACACCAAGAAGACAATGCAATTAAGAAGTGGGGAGAGGCCCTGGCTGGTTTGGCTCAGTGGGTAGAGCATCAGCCTGTGGACTTGATTCCAGCCAAGGCCACGTACCTCAGTTGCAGGCTTGATCCCTGGCCCCACTCAGGGCCCATGCGGGAGGCAACCAATCAATGTCTCTCTCTCTCTTTCTGAAAAGCAATGGGGGGGAAAGAGAAGAAGAAATGGACAAAGGACCTTAATAGACACTTCTCCAAAGAGGACATACAGACGGCCAAGAGACATATGAAAACATGCTCACCATCAGTAATCATCAGAGAGATGCAAATTAAAATTACAATGAAGTATCACCTCACACCTGTCAGAATGGCTCCATCAACACATCATCAAACGACATGTGCTGGCAAAGGTGTGGAGAAAGGGGAACCTGGTACACTGCTGGTGGGAATGCTGACTGGTGCAGCCACTGTGGAAAACAGTATGGAGTTTTCTCAAAAAAATTAAAAATGGCTAGCCCTGGCCAGATAGCTCAGTTGGTTAGAACATCATCTCAATACGCCAAGGTTGCAAGTACCGTTTCTGGTCAGGGCACATATAGGAAGCAACCAACAAATCCTCTCTCTCCCTGTCCCCGCTTCTTTCTCTCTAAAATCAATAAATTAAAAATTTAAGAAATAAAGTAAAAAGGGGAAAGAATTAGAAATGGAACTGCTTTTTGACTCAGCAATCCCACTTCTGGGAATATGTTCTAAGAAACCCAGAATTCTAAATTAAAAGAATATATGCATCCCTGTGTTCATAGCAGCATTATTTACAATAGCCAGGATCTGGAAACAACCCAAGTGCCCATCAGTAAATGAGTGGATTTAAGAAGCTGTGGTACATTTGTACAATGCAATACTACTTGGCCATAAAAAAGAAGGAAATCTTACCATTTGCTACATCATGGATGGACCTGGAGAGCATTATGCTAAGTGAAATAAGCCGGTCAGAGAAAGACAAATACCATATGATCTCACTTACAAGTGGAATCTAATTAACAAAATAAACTGACAAACAAAATAGAAACAGAGGCATGGATACGTGGAAAAAACTGACAGCTGTCAGAGGGTAGGGGCGTGGGGGACTGGATGAAAGAAGGTAACGGGATTAAGCCAAATAAAACACATTTATATGTGTATCAAACGCACAGACAACAATGTGGTATAGCCAGGGGAAGGGGTGCTGGGGGCAGGTGGAGGTGGGCAAAGGAGGGGGAAATGGGGACAGAAAGAGACTTTGCTTTGGGCGTTGGGTGCACGATGCAGTGTGCAGATCAGATGATATTTTGTTGAGTTGTGCACTTGAAACTGTATGGTTTTGTGAACCAGTGTCAGCCCAGTAAATTCAATTATAAAATAAAAGAACCCATTGCACAATTATTATCAAGGCTACATGGTCATACTGGATTTCTCTTTACCCCTTCAACATGTCTCCTTTGTTCCTGAATCGGGATCTTTGCACTTGCTGGTTCCTCGGCTCGGAACTCTCTTCCCAAGATCTCAGTCTCCTTACCATTCAAGGCTGAGATCGACCCTCACCCCCCTGGAGTGGCTTTCCCCAGTTATCCCTGCATAAGTGGGCAGGCCACTCCCTTCCCAGCCTTCAGTTGTGTTTTCATGCATCTACTCTCTTTTCTTTTCCTCAGGGTGTTTATGTTGTTTGTTTAAGTGTTTACCACACCTCCCCCCGTGTACACACACTTGGACCGTCACCTCTGTGCCGACTGACAGTTCCCACCGTATCTCCAGTACCTTGCACAGAACAGGCCACAGAGTAGCCACTTCATAATAGCTGTTAACGAAAGAGCCTCTTCCTGATGGAAGGAGCGTTCGCTGAGGAATGAACGGTCTCTTGGCGGCAGATCTGTGCACGGGAGCACTCGCCTGCCGCAGCATCTGCTCTGAAGTCAGCGCCCGGCGGTGTGCAGTTAGCGTTGCCCGTAATCCACAGCCCCGTTTCTGCAGAATTGTCCATTTCCTTTGTCCTTCAGCTCTGAAAACAACACAGTGGGCGCATTACTATTCATATATACTGAAAAAAAGGAATGTAGAAATAGGCACTGTTTCCACTGTGGAAATATTTGAAAACCAGGTCTCATAAACTGGGTAAGACAAGGCTAGATGACAACCTGGTCTCTCTTGTATTCAGGGAAGCCAACATCACCCTGACCTTGAAGTCCCTGTGGCCTCAGTCTCGGCAGCAGCTTGCCACTCTCCTTGTGAATTCTGGCCTTAGCCCTTAGATGTGGTCGGGAAAAATAATTAAATTAAATGACAAAATGATTAAGCATTCAAAATCATTATTCTTTCTAATTCTAGATCATGGTTCATCGGCGATTACTTAAAATGCTGGACGCTATTCGTTCCATGGACAAAGAGGTCATATTGAAAAGGCTCCAGCTTGAAAGACAATCGATAATACAAGGTGAGGTGCAGCTGGCAAGTGCAGCGATACTTTGAGCAGCAGTCCTTAGAGCATGAGGCTTCTTTATGATGAAGCTAGCTGTGTAGAAATACAATATTTTCATAAATCACAGGGATGTTTTCTGTGGCTGCTGTAACAAATCACCACAAACTTGTGGCTTAAGACAACACACATTTATTATCACACAATTCTGGAGGTCAGAAATCTGACATTAGGATGTCAGCAGGGCTGGGTCCTTCCAGAGGCTCCAGGGGAGAATGTGTCCCTGCTTCTTCCAGTTTCTAGAGGCCGCCTGCCTTCCTTGGCTCGTGGCCACTTCCTCAAGTCACTCTGACCTCCCACTTCTGTCATGACTTCTCCTTCTCTGACTAACCCTCTTGCCTCCCTTTTATGGATCCTGTGATTACTTTAGGTCCACCCAGACCACCCAGGACAATCTCCCCATCTCATTTAAGATCTTTAATTTCATCATACCTGCAAAGTCCCTTTGCCATGTAAGGTCACGAGAGACTAGGACAGTCGGCACTTACACTTGTTGATTGATTGGCTGGGTCTGGTTTTATCTCAATCTAGCATTTACACATAAAGCTTTTTATCTCATATTATCTTTGCTATTTAAAAAAAATTCCAATCCACAGATGGACTGGGACTGTTGGAGGCCCATTCTCAGTAGTTCTGGGAGCCCAAAAGCCACATCACCATCTCCTCCCAAAATATGTATTTCCAATCTGTGGCTCATGTGCAGGTCCACAGGCAGGTCCTGATCTTTCCAGAGCCTTCCTCCCTTCCCAAGCCCAAGCCCCTGAATCTGACTCAGGTTTCCCTGGCCTCCCCAAAAAGCAACTTTTTGGAAGTAAAAATAAAATTAAAATTTTTTTAATTGGAGAAGGGGTTGAGGTAAAGAACAAAGGAGGCACTAAAAATGGGACTATATCCATCCATACATAGATACTGTTTTTGAAATGCATGTGTCAGGTACCCACTAATGGTATATGACAAATATGCAACCAGAGATGGTGGTGGATTCACATAAAAATACCTTAAGAAGCCCCCAAGAATGCTATTTTGTTTTTCCTTCATAGACAAGAATCCCTCCAAATACCTTCTGCTGCGGACCAGTCAAGATGATTATTCTGGCCGGTTCTCTGTGTCACCCAAGCAAGTGCTGCCCTTCGCCTTCCCATCCCACAGTCCTCCCCAGGGCTCCGATGAGTTGGTGGGTGTTGTTGGGCTGGGGTGGGGGCCGGGCATGATCACATGGTTGTTAGGCAGATACCAAGGCAGGCCCTGCCTCAGTCTCAGTCTCTTTGCTTCCTCCTGAGAGGCTCCCAAGGGAGACCTGTGCCCAGGGAATTGTGACCAATGGGAAACCGGGAATCGTCTATGGCCACCTGCCTGGCATCTGACTTACCTGTGCAGAGCTTCTGAGAGCCTGGGCTGGTCTTTTCCAGCCTGGCTTGTCAGCCCAGGAACCAGGCCTCTGAGCAGAAGGAAAGACAGAGAAACTCAGAGGACCTGGCCTGGCCCGGGGAGGCAGGCCCTACTCAGCTGAGCCCTTCGGCTGTGTGAGCAAATGGAGAGGCCAGAGAGGGATGGCCCAGTATCCACCAATCTAACCCATAGGACTCACAATTCCCTCTCTCTCCCTCTCTCCGTCCCTTCTCTCCCTCTCCCTCCCAGTCCCTCCCTCTCTCTTTCTCCCTCTCTCCCTCTCTCCCCCCCCCCTTTCCACTCTCTCTAAAAAATCAATGGAAAAAATATCCTCAGGTGAAGATTAACAAACTAACCAACAAAAAGATCAGAATACTTTGGAAATAAAAAATCTGTGATTTTCCAGCAACAGTAAATATCTGACACCCAATAACTGATGGAAGGGATCGTCACTGCGCTGTGGAGCCCGGCTCGTTCTTTGTGGGTAGTTCAAAGCTTAGGCATTTCACTTGGTACTTTAGTTAGTTCTGCAGAGGCTTCTCTGCTGCTCAGAGCTGATGAAAAGCAGACTGCTCAGCATTCCTGCCTTCAAAGAATGTTCTGATTCATTCCATGAATACTGTATTTTATCAATTATATGATCACTTTTTAAAATATTTAGCATCTTTGAAATTGGGAAGTGCCTTATGATTGATGGCATATTAACAATGCATCATACTAAATGAATTATTGTGTCTTAGATTTGGTGAAATGCAGTGTTTATTGAGTGCCCATAATACGGTAGATGCTGTTCCAGGTTCTCCAGGTGTCCGAGGCAGACAGGCCTGCAGGAAGTTTATTAGGTGATGCTTTGGGGGTAGCAGCTGTAGAAGTGAGGTGGCGGGAGCAGGAGTGGACAGAGAGAAAAGCTGGACTGCAGGCCTTCTTGTCAAAGTCCTCAGCTGATTCATGAGGAGCTCCGATGCTGGGATAGGGTGAGAGGACCTGGCATTTATACCTGCTTCAACCTGTCATTGGAGGTGGGCTGCCCTTGGAGGGGCACATGCCCTTGGCCGAGCCAGCTCCCTCAGCCAGGGCATCCCCTAGAGAGGGCTGACCCCTGAGAATTGTTTGTATGAACGGGACTCCTAGCAGCTGGGGGACTGAAACCTTCAAACCTAAAGGGGATTCTGGGTGGCACACTGCAGCATCCACCATGGTAGGAAATGAAAACGAAGAATCGCATCCACTAAGAGACAAAGAGGGGGTGGCCAACGCCACCTCCGGGCCCCGCACATCCTGCAGCAACTGTGGTTGCGGGAAGGCTGCTCTAAGGACAGAGCTGTTCACTTAATGTTCAAAGTGTATGGAAAAGGAAGCAAACCCACTTTTGCTCAGCGTTGGTTATGTATCAATTCCTTGAATTTTCACATTTTAGGCTCCTGATGGCCTTGGACCCGTCCCAATTAAATCTTCAGACGTTCACATCAAGCACAGCCACTCCTTCTTCAATCTGCAGGTCAGGCCTGTCGTGAGGCATTAGTTCACTGGGTTTCCCACGAAGTGAACAAAATAGTCTTGCATTTGAATTGCTGGTTTTATTAGTTTGTTCTACAGTGGGTTATACTGTGTAGCATACTGTTTGTATTTTTCTGTTGTTAATTCTATGGTATGTATGAGTATAACAGACTCTGAGTATAACAGACTCTGTTTTCCTAATGTGGCTTATGGGATCCAGGGTCCTTACTTGTTCTGTGGAAATAGCATATATTATGCATACATGAAGCCACCTGAACTACACAGATTAGAAACTTTTAAGAAAAAAACACACGACGAAGTCAACAAAGTCAGTCAGTCCTTTTTGAGTATATATGAATATTGATAATATGAAATTTGAAACTTGAATATTTTAACTTGACCAAGCCGTATTGGGGGTGTTTCTGCAGTTAAAGCACTAGCCCGGCCAGGCANTGACCAAGCCGTATTGGGGGTGTTTCTGCAGTTAAAGCACTAGCCCGGCCGGGCATGGCTCGGGTTGAGCGTCAACCTAGGATCCAGGCGATCAGGGTTCGATTCCCAGTCAGGGCACATGCCTGGGTTGTGGGNCTCCTTTCCTCTCTCTGAAGTCAATAAAGATATATTTAAAAAAAAAAAAAAGCACATGGTACTAGAGAGGACTTGTGAGTGTTCCTGTGTGCTGGCACCCAGGACAGGGCCCAGGACTGGCATTAGGCCTCTCCAGCTCTGGCCAAACGAACAATTGCCACAATCTGGTGGCGATAATGTGGAACTTGTTTTTCTTTTACCATCAGGCAGCTCAGAAGCGCTGTTGTTGAGAATAGACCCCACTAAATGGTCCCCTTTTAAGGATATTCAGTCAATCCTCGTGTTTCACCCCCAGGTTCCTCAAAAGTACAAACTTAAGGGGTATCAGCCATTCTCTGTCCAGAGGTCTTCAACAACTTATAGACCCCAGAAACTTGCTCGAGCCCTGAAACAAGGAGCTGAGGTACCACATCCCACCCTCGGGAATTGCCCTCACCTTGCCCCTCTGGTCCGGGAATCAGGACTAACACACTGCTCTTGGTCCTCGCACAGGATGAAGCCACCACCGTGATAACCCTACCAAAGCAGGACGACACCCCTCAGTTCCCGGGCAAGACCTCAATCTTGAACATGAAACCACCTGAGGCCTTAGCCGTGTCTCCAGACTATGACCCACTGTATATCTTTGTAAGTGACCATTGGCACAAGTCTGTGTTCTGTGTTCCTTTATTTTAGCAGTTACTTCATAAGAAAACAGATGCATTAATTGGGAATANTATGACCCACTGTATATCTTTGTAAGTGACCATTGGCACAAGTCTGTGTTCCTTTATTTCAGCAGTTACTTCATAAGAAAACAGATGCATTAATTGGGAATAATTTTACCTCTTTGGAATTTCAGGGTTTAAACAATATGTCATCTTTTAAATTGCTTGCTTGGAGAATATCAATGCTCCTGTCTTTTAATAATTCCAGCATTTATCTTTATGACAATAGCTTTGTGATATTTTCTAATTATATGTAATATATTATATGTATATACATGCACACACACACAATATTTNTTTGGAATTTCAGGGTTTAAACAATATGTCATCTTTTAAATTGCTTGCTTAGAGAATATCAATGCTTCTGTCTTTTAATAATTCCAGCATTTATTTTTATGACAATAGCTTTGTGATATTTTCTAATTATATATAATATATTATATGTATATACATGCACACACACACAATGTTTAAAAAAAAAGAGAAAGGAAAAGACACAACAGAAGAAGAGAGTAAATTACCCCAAATCCCATCACTCGGAGCTGTCCGGTCCTTATGCCCTTGGGCAGTGGTGGCTTCCNTTACCCCAAATCCCATCACTCGGAGCTGTCGGGTCCTTATGCCCTTGGGCAGTGATGGCTTCCGTGCCCAGCCTCTGCTCCCAGGTCCCTGATGAACTTCGCTTCTGTAGCCCCCCAGGATTCCCGCAGGAAGCACCCTGACCACGCCACGTCCTGCTCAGCATCTTCACGGGGNCGTGCCCAGCCTCTGCTCCCAGGTCCCTGATGAACTTCGCTTCTGTAGCCGCCCAGGATTCCCGCAGGAAGCACCCTGACCGAGCCACGCCCTGCTCAGCATCTTCACGGANCAGGAAGCACCCTGACCACGCCACGTCCTGCTCAGCATCTTCACGGGGCCGTCTTCTACCAAATTAAGCCTACGCTCCTGAAGATGTGAGGCCAGTCATAATCCCCAACCGCATTTGTCCCCGTGCCCCTGTGTCCCTGAGCCCCTGCGAGTCCCTCCCATCACCAGGCCTTCACGCACTCTGATCTGCCCTCACGGGGTTTCCCTCTTCTCGACATTTCCAGCTACCCGGGTCCCAGGCGACTGGAACCCACGCAGGAAATCTCATGAGGTTCTATGTAATGATGGAATCATCGGTGAAATGCCACAGTAGTTGCCCAAGTTATGGTCCATTTTTAAAAAATATGTTTTTATTGATTTTGGAGAGAGAGAGGAAGGGAAAGAGAGGTAAAAACATCGATGAGAGAGAACATGGGTCGGCTGCCTCCTACACTCTCCTCACTGGGAATGGAGGCCGCAACTCGGGTGTGTGCCCTGGCCAGGAACTGAACCTGTGACCTCTCGGTGCATGGGCCAGCACTCAACCACTGAGCCACACCAGCTGGGCCATTTTTTTTTAAAGACAGACACATACACACACAGAACAAAGGGACCTCAGACACTACTTGAGGAAGTCTCCTTTGTGAGAATCTCCAAGTGCAAACCTGTCTCATGTGGGCAGAGTGCTAAGGGCCACACCAAGGTCACCCAGCCAGTTAGCGGAGAGCGGGAGCAGCAGCCTGCCTGTCTCCTGACGGCCTCAGGCTCTTCCTTGGAATTACGCTGCTTTTCTGTGCAGAGCTGTGATGTCTGCGTTTTGGCCATAATGTGGCATTTTCTTATTGGCTCATCAGTTGAGAAGAATGCTCCTCAGAGACGTAGAATCCTAGAACTGGAATGACCTCGCAGGACATTTAACCCAGTGACCTTCAGACTTCCTTTAGCACCAGAACCCTCTCAACAGCTAAAACTTTACAGAGGCAGGCAAAATGTAAAATAGATAAAGTTCTGGTTGCTGGGATGGCAGTGGGGTAGGGGTTCTCCTAAAGGGGTGCCCCTACAAAACTCTAGGGGTCCCCACAGCAAGGTTTGAAAACCATTNTAAAGTTCTGGTTGCTGGGATGGCAGTGGGGTAGGGGTTCTCCTAAAGGGGTGCCCCTACAAAACTCTGGGGGTCCCCACAGCAAGGTTTGAAAAACATTTCCTGGCCATTTTATTTTATTTTTTTAAATCCTCACCCGAGGATATTTTCCCATTGCTTTTCAGAGAGAGTGGAAGGGACAGAGAGAGAGAGGAACATCGATGTGAAAGAGACGCGTCGATTGGTTGCCTCCCCCACATGCCCCAACCAGAGCTGAGGATCGAGCCTGCAACTGAGGTACTTGCCCTTGGCTGGAATCGAACTCGGGACCCTTCAGCCCCTGGGCCAACGCCAAACCGGCTAGGGCGTCCTTGCCATTTTGAAAGTGAGAAAACTGGTCTAGAGAAGTTAAGGGAATTTTCCAGTCACACTCATACGTCCTTAGAAAATATCAGTAGTTTTCTATTAACTCATTAATTCCACAGGCACTTAGAGCGTGCCTGCTATGTGTAGCATAGGAACCCTAAGTGTAGGGGCAGCTCATCCAAGAGACACAGCAGCCCTAATATTGATCCACCTAAGACCAGAGCCTCAGGATGCATGAAACGAAAACTGATTGAACGGCAAAGGAAAAAAATAGACAAATCCCCATAGCGGGAGTGCTCGCCCTGTCCGTCCTTGGTTCTCCGTCCACAACTCTCTCGCGCTCTGGGTTACTTAAGGTGGCGTGCACTGACACGGGAGATGCTCCCACGTGTCCACCCACCACCCTCCTTGCTCTCCTCCCTCTCCACCCCCCTTCTGAGCTCTCAGGCCTCCCCTGCTCTGCCTCACCAGGGCCCCCGCCTCTCACCTTGCTCCCTTCCAACCCTCCAGCCCTTATCTGGGTAGAGGATCTTTCCTTGAGCCCCAGGGGGTGAAGCCCAGTGTCCCCATTCTCTTCGGTCTCTGCCACCACCCCATGCAGCACTTTGAGGAACTGGAAGAGAACCTGCTGCTGTAAAAATATATCTGTACCAACCCTAACTCTGCCCCCAACTGCTGGTGGAAGTGTCTGTTGCTTCTGCGTCCCTGCGGCCACTGCAGACTCCGCGGCGCGCACCGTCTCCTCGCTGCGTCCTCCCTTGCACCCAGGAGCTGAGGCGAGAGCCTTCTTCGGCCTCCCTGCCTGGCCCCAGCAGCAAGGCAGCCTCTGCACCTACAGCTTGCGGCCCTCCCCGCGCTCCCGCCTGCACCCCCGACCGCGCGCCGCTCTGGGCTCTCCCGCCCGGCTCTGTGCCACCCTGGTCTGCTGCAGTTCCCTTAAGTTGTGGGAGACATTCGCTTCTTGGCAACGAGACTGGGTTCCTATAAGCCATGTGGAGTTCTGTTGTTTTTTCAAAAAGATTGTTTTAAAAATTATACAGACAGACAAATAGAACAAAATCTCAACTTGCTAGCTATGAAATATCTGAAATTAAACAACTATAAAGGGGCAAAAGCTTCATTGTTGTTTGGGACAAGAATGGGGTTTTTGTTGGACAAATCCTGGAAGGATCATTAAAAGGCTCTATATTCTCATATTTTGATGTAATTGCTCTGTGCCTCCATTAGTTCTGCTGGAAAACTAATAAAGAACAGGATCTTCCTTAAAACCAGATTCGACATCCAAATGGAGCCTTCCTCAATTAGAAACATCTTCAAAACAATGTTAAATGTTGACATTTCCTGATATAGCAAATGTCACCCTCTTCTTTGTCCCCTTTTTGAAATAGTTTTTGAAAAGCTACCTTTGTTTTCAAAGCCAGAAGCTTACTTGCTTTTTAAAACCAGTTTGCTTACTTAATAAATCCCCTAGTTCATCAAATTAAGAAACAAATACTTTAAACCATTTTAAGCTGTTATTTCAGTTGTTACTTGTTTCCATGTGAACTTAGTAAATCCATGTGGTATGTAATGAAGCCCTTAAGCTGGAAAAGTGACATTTATGGACGGCTGTGACATTTAGGACTGCCGATCTGAAGGCGCCTCTGCTCTCCTGCTTCCCTCCAGAGGCGCTGACGTGGAGCCGCTGTTAGTGCCGCTGGGAGCCGTTAGCGGACGCCTCTCCTCTGCCTGACTTAGAAACTAGTAACCAAACAAGTCTTTTTCTCTCTTTCTGCAGAATCCCAACCCAGGATTATTTGCTGTGATGCCCTCTCTGACCTACGCAGAAACCGTGATAGACTACCATCTGTGCTCTCACCCCAAGTACAAGTTCACCAAGGAGTCCCACGTCGGGTCCAGCATCCCTCTCACCCAAAAGCAGTTTCTCCATCACACGGTAATGCCATCCCCGGGCTCTCTGGCAGAGCTGACCTTGGGCTACGGGAAAGGGCGGGGAACACGGATGGAGGGGCACAGCTGGAATTGAGACAAAGAAGCTTTGCAGCCACAGCTGCAGATCAAGAATAGTACCAAAGGTGGCTGTGCGCACTCGCACCCCAGCCCTAGAGAGGTACCCGTGGGAGACTCAGCACCACCCTCGTCCGGTCCACCCACCTCCCAGGCTACAGGCTGCCCCTTTTCAACATGCTCATTCCCTTTTTCCCTTGAAGATGACGCCCCACATTCATTTCTGTTCCTGTTTCAGCCATGTGAAAACACACAGCAGGCACGACCCCATGTCTCACCTCCTCTTTCTTTGTCCCCAACAAGTGTAGAAACATCAGAATGGACAGGGTGGCGAGATGACAAATGCATGTTAAGGAAGAGGTCCCGAGAATTTCTTCTCCTAGATAACCAGCCTGAATATCCTGTGGCATCTCTGGAGTTGCCCTCAGGACCTTCACACTCAATAAATCCCTAACCCGGGTCATAATCTCTGCCCTCCTGCTGCCAGCCTCACCTCGGAGTGCTCCCCCTCCGCTCACCTTCTTGTTCTGTGATTTGTGCAGTGACCCGTGTGACCCTTGGTCCCTGCCCCTCCCTCAGTCCCGTATCTAACCATCACCGGATTCCTCCAGTCTGCCTCAAACAGCTTGCGAATGTCCCTCTCCTCCCCCACGGCCACCACTGTGCCGTCGGCCCTCTCTAGAAACCCTTCGGTAGGCATCCAGCCGATCGTGTTGTTTTCCAGTCTGAAAGCTCCCGGTGGCCCTGCTGCCTGTGGGAGCAGCTCCACGCTCATTCGCTTGGCCCACAGGCCGTCACGACCAGCCTGTCTCTTCAGACTCATTCCCCGCGGCCCGTCACTCACCCTGCACTCAGCCCAGCGGGTGCCCTCCTGAGAGCACCCTCCCTGCATCTCCACGCGCCTGCCGGCGCCCCCCCGCCCGCGTGCGCGATGAACCCGCAGCCTCTTTGACTGTGGCCTTAGCCCCACGTTCATAAGAATCAAACAGACCGAAGGCCGAATCTGCCCTCCCTCGCCCTCCCGTTGGACCGTGATGTGCCCGATGAATCGGGCAGGGAAATGGCCCCTTTGGCCCTACTTTAATTCTGTGCTCCATTGTTTAATGCCCTTTGCTGGAGCGGTTGTCTTTTAGCTTCTTAAAAATGCTAACTGAATGAAATTATAAATTTTGAAGCTAACTTTTAACAATAGTCATTTGAATGAATGGAAGCCCCTCCTAGACTTCAGCTCCCCCAGCAGTCGCCTTACACACAGTGGCCATGGGCCGGCTTTCGTTCCAGGACATTATACCCGGAATAATGCACTGGAAGAGGTTCCAGCCCCTGGCTCTCTCATCTCTGCCCGAGACCTCCAGGACAGAGACAACACAGAGGTGAGCAGGGCTCGCCCGCCGCCTGCCCCGCGACCCAGCGCTGAACCCGCAGCCGCTCGTTGC